ATTATGCTTCATTCCTTGTTACAATTGGATGCAATACGGTGTCAGTATATTTGATTCCAAATGGCTCCCTAAAAATATTCGATTCACATGCAAGAGATTCCTTTGGTATGGCTCAATCACATGGGACATGTGTATTGTTAGAAGTAACCTCTGTTGATAACTTAGCTGAATATTTCAAAAGCTGTTACAGAGGTGATGTTTTGTTTGAATTGAAAGGTGTTAAAATTGCTACAGCAAATGAACAGTCGACAAGTAGCATAAATGACCATGTAAAACCAGATGGGTTGGTGTCAACTTTACCTGAAGGAACTGACCAAACCGACACATTCACATTTCCAGAACTTTGTGCAATATACATTTACTCTATTTGCTTTTCCACAATTAAATCATGTACATACTGGGATAATTTAACAAGGGATGCTATAGCAGAAAATGCTAAGTTATTTTATGAATCCCTGAAAATAAAAAATAAGATTATGCCTGAGGACTTCCCACAAAGGTTATCAATACTTGATGCTGAGGTGGACATAGTATACACAACAAGGCAATATGGCATTTTATCTGTTCTGAATAAACATCTACTTGTGAGGTCAATCTCAATGAATACTGCAAACAACACTGGGTTTTTAGTGTGGTTTTCTGATTTCTGTTTAGCTGGCATATTCAACCATAAAAAATCTGGTACACAATACTATTTAATTGCATACAATAGATTGCTGGAAAAAATTGGAATTGAAATTTGTGATAACTCAAGTTTTCTCATTGATAAACTGTATGAATTTTCTATGAAAGTAAATTGTGAAAATGTGTCATATGATATTCAATTTTTACTATGTTCACACAAGTTGTCAAATTCAGATAGACAGAGAGTAGTAAGAAAACACAAGTCATCTAGAGACAAAAGAACAATATCAGAAAAACGTAAAAGTAATTATAAAAATTTGGAACCTGCAGAAAAAAAACAATGTTTAGAAAAAAAGCAAACAAAATCAAAAGAAAGTTATAGATCTATGGATCCTTTAAAAAAGAAAGCACTTCTTAGTATAAGATCTGAAGTGTACAAATCAACAAGTGATATGAAAAAGAAAGCCCTTATTGAAAAAAATGCTAATAAATATGGCTCAATGAACCTTTGTGAGAAACGTGAGCTTCTCAATGAGAAAGCTGAAAAGTACAAATCCATGCGATCAGACATAAATCACTGTATATCAAGATTTAAAACTAAAATAAAAGAAGGCCCATTTTTTGTATGTTCAGTTTGTCAGCGGTTGCTGTATAGGAAATCAGTTATTTTATTGCAAAATCATACATATGACAATAGTATGGCTGAAGTAATCACAGATATTAAATCATTTGATGGAAACCGGTACATTTGCAAAACATGTCACTCAAAAGTTTCAAAGGGTAGAACACCATGTCAAGCAGCGTGTAATGACATGTATATTGACAAAGTACCAAATGAATTGATGTGCTTAGAAAAACCAGAGCAGATTCTGATTGCACAAAGAATAGTTTTTGAGAAGATTATTGTGATGCCAAAAGGACAGCAGAAAAAAGTTAAAGGAGCAATATGTAATGTGCCAGTTGAATGTGACCAGTCCTGTAATATTTTACCTCGACCACCAGAAAGATCTGGCATCATTATGTTAAAACTGAAAAGGAAACTTGAATTCAGGGGTCATGTGTATTTCCAGGCAGTTCGCCCTCAGTTTGTTTTGAATGCCTTAAACTGGCTTAAAGTCAACAACCCATTGTATCATAATATAATAATTGATATTAACAGGCTTGGAAATAATTTGTTAAGCCTCCAGGTTCAGCAATACTGTAATAATGATTGCACAATAAACAAAGATGACATGCCAACAACAGCACCATCACATATTACAGATGCAAAGGATCATGATGTTGATGATGACATTGAAGAACAAGATGACCCTTTAAATGAGCATCGCCAAGCACCTAACGAGACATGTTTCCAATCTGTATTACCAGATTACCCAATTACAATTACACAAAACAGTAATAATTGCTCCTTAGGTACTGAGGTATACAACATTGCACCTGGTGAAAACAAACACCCTGTTTCATTAATGATGGATAAAAATTGTGAAGAGCTTGCATTTCCAGCATTGTTTCCAAAGGGTAGATTTGGCTTCACACATGAACGGGAGATTAAATTGTCACCAGTAAAATACTTCAATGCTAGACTTTTGCATTATAGTGGAAGATTTGCAACCAACCCAGAATACCTGTTCTTTGCCCAGTTTATAACAGAACAAAAGAAGGTATCTGACAGTATCAACATAGCCTTGAAAAAAATGCAAGGACAGTCTGTTACTGCATCTGAAATAAAATCAAATGTAAACAAATTAAAAGGGTTGATATATCAAGATCAAGCATATTTATTTTTAAGACAGATTCCAGGTACACCACCATATTGGCAAAAATTTATGTATGAAGTAGTAGCAATGGTGAAACAATTAGGAATTCCAACATGGTTCATGACACTATCATGTGCTGATCTCAGATGGCCAGAACTATTTCAAATTATCGCAAAAACACAAGGTAATGACATCACAGAAGAGGAAATTGAAGCATTATCTTACAATGAAAGATGTTCAATGTTGAATCTTAATCCTGTTGTTATTGCAAAACACTTCCAACATAGAGTGGAAACATTTTTCACTGAAGTGTTACTTTGTCCAAGTAACCCGATTGGAAAAATAATCTACTATGCACTTCGTATTGAATTTCAAATGAGAGGATCACCTCATTTACATGCATTAATATGGACCTCTGATTGCCCTAAACTAACATCTAATGATAAGGACACCTATATACAATTTATTGATAACCATGTTCAGGCCAACCTTCCAGAGAAAAACACAGAACCAGAATTACATGAGTTAGTCAATACTTATCAAAAGCACAACCACTCAAAAACCTGTAGAAAATACAAAAATGTCAGTTGCAGGTTTAATTTTGGTCAATTTTTCACAAACAGAACAATTGTAGCAGAACCTCTCAGTGATGAATTAGACGAGGGAGTTAAAACTAACTTACTTGAAAGGCGAATGCAAATCTTAAATCCAGTCAAACAAAAGATTGATGACATTCTTAATCCATCCAAAACAACTAGTTATGATGCCTCATTAACTGAGTCAGATATTTTAAAGTCTTTGGACATCACTGAAGATCAATATTACTGGGCATTATCCATTTCTCCTGATTCAGACTTTGAGCTACATCTTAAAAGGCCTGTATATAGCTGTTTCATTAATAATTATTTTGTTGCTGGTATCAAGGGCTTTGCAGCAAATGTAGACTTGCAACCTGTATTCAATCACTATAAATGTATAACATATGTATGTTCATACTTTACGAAAGACGAGACTGAATGTTCACAAGCTATTATGAATGCAGCAAAAGAGGCTAAAGCTGAAAACATGAGCATTAGAGATATATTAAAAAAAGTTGGTGCTGCCTTTCTATCCACAAGAGAAGTGAGCTCGCAAGAATGTGTTTACCGTGCAATGCCTGAACTTTGGTTGAGAAAAATATTCCCCAAAACAGTATTTGTTAACACAAATGTCCCGGAACAGAGGATCCGGATGACTAAAACTGAGCAAGAGCTTGATGAACTAGATGATGATAGCACTGATATATTTAAATCAAATATCATTGAACGTTACATCATTAGACCAACATCTATACCCATAGTTGACAGCATGTGTCTTGCAGAATTTGCTGCATACTACTACAAAGATTATAAAGTAGATTGTGAAACACAAGATGCCCAGCCAGGTCTGCTAACAGATGACATAATTGAAAACCAAAGTACAGTTAGCAATACAATAAAAGGTTTGCCAAAAACAATTAAATTGCTTAACAAAAATGAGTATATGAAATGTCGAAAAGTAAAAGCTGTGTTAAGGTACCATACACCAAGTAAAGAAAAAAAAACAGAATTATATTTCCACCACCTACTTATGCTTTATTACCCGTGGCGAGATGAAAAGAATTTGTTAGCTTCTGACCAAACATATACATCCAAATTTTATGAAGCTGATGTCCACGAAACTGTGCAACTCAACAAATCAGTATTTGAACCTGATGCAGATGCCATTAGTGAAGCATTTGACCTACTGAAAGCTAACGAAGGCAATGTTGGTCCATCATTTGATGCACTTAATGACCAGGAGAATTCAGATATACTAGATGAGATGCCAGACGATATAAACCAAAATGAATCATTCAATCAACAGATTCCATCACATCTTGACCCAGCACAATGTAATAATGAGTCCACACCTGGAGCCATAGCAACATACCACCAACCAACTCAGATATCTGATGATGTTTTACGTCAAAATATCAGATCCCTAAACAAACAACAGCGTCTTGCATATGATATATTCCTCTCATGGTGTCGCAATAAAATGAAGAACTTAAACAGTCTAAAGCCAGTTGACATAGACCCAATCTATCTGTTCTTGACTGGAGGTGGTGGTGCTGGAAAAAGTCATGTCATTAAGACAATATATCACACAGCAGTTAAGACATTTAGACACCCTCCAGTTAACCCTGAGTTACCAACTGTACTGCTGATGGCACCAACTGGTGTAGCTGCAATAAATATTGATGGAACAACAATTAATACTGGTCTTGCTATCCCTAAAGAAGCTGGTGATATTGTACCACCATTGTCTGACCAAAAGAAGACACAATTAAGATTAACATTGTCTGAGTTAAAACTTATTGTAATAGATGAAATTTCTATGGTAGGAAATACAACTTTACTTCATATCCACCAAAGATTGAAAGATATATTCGGTACACCAAGTTCTATGTTATTTGCTAGAATCTCTATTATAGTTGTAGGTGATCTTTGTCAACTACCACCAATACGTAAGAAATTTGTTTTTGATACTTACAGGAATAATATTTATAATTTATGCCATCCATGGAGAGTATTTCAAATGATAGAGCTTGTCGAAATCATGAGACAAAGAAATGATAAAGCATTTATTGAACTTCTTAACAGAGTAAGAACTGCCACACAAACAAAAAATGATATAAAGGTAATCCAATCAAGATCAATATCTCCAGATGACCCTAATTATCCATCACATGCACTCCATATTTGGGCAGAGAACTCACCAGTTGACAAGCACAACAATGAGAAATTGCAAGAACTTTCTGGACCATTGTTTATTCTAAAGGCTAAAGACCAATTCCCACCAAATGTCAAGAAACAAGATATTGATACAGTTCTAGCAAGAAAACGATCTGAAACAGGTGGACTTGATTTGGAAATTCATATTAAACAAGGTGCCAGAGTGATGCTCACAACTAATATTAGCATTGCAGATAGACTTATCAATGGACAAATGGGAACTGTCTTTAAAGTTGATGTTAATCCAATTAACCGGAAACCAACTGTTCTTTACATTAAATTTGATGATCCAAATGCTGGTAAAAATCTTCTAAATACCACTAGCAATGTTTTGGCAAGAGAACATCAAGTTGTCCCAATTGAACCTGTGTTGGCAAAGATCAAGATTAGGCCAGGTAAACCATCATCTCCAGAAATACAGAGAGTACAATTTCCTGTGACACTAGCTTGGGCATGTACTGTACATAAAGTTCAAGGTTTAACACTTGATCAAGTGGTAGTCAGCACTGAGTTAGTAAAACAGAGAGCATTTAACTATGGACAAATTTATGTTGCCTTAAGCAGAGCAACCTCTATACAAGGTCTGTACATTTTAGGGGAGATTGCAAGTAAAGATATCAAAACAAATCCAAAAGTTCTTGAAGAATATGAGAGACTGAGGAAAGAGATTGTTTGTCATCCAGTCACTACCTTGCAACATGATAATGAAGCTGTAACCATAACACTTTTAAATATCAGATCTCTTAAAAAACATTGCATTGATATTAAATGTGATTCAAGACTTTTTACTAGTGATGTTATAGCCCTTACTGAAACTCAGTTGGTTCCATCTGATTGCGACAAAGGAATTATTGATACCCTTAGTCCCTTTAGACTGTATCGCCAAGACCATGTCAGTGATAAGTATTCAAGTATGGCAATCTGCTCAAGAAATACTGTTGATATCAGAGATTTTGAATATTTCCCTTCACTAAATGCAATGAAATATGAAGTGGTTAACAACATCTCTAATGGGACACAAAATGTTCTTCTCCTCTACCGAAAACAGAACTCTAATGTCTCACAATACATAGAATGTTTAAGATATCTCCTCACAAGTAGTACAGTTGATATAGTTCTTGGGGATTTTAATATTAATTACTTTAATGATAATCAAGTTGAACATCTTAAATCATTAATGGAGTCTTTGAATTATATTCAAATTGTAGCAAAGTCGACATTTGTATCTTCTGGAAGCCTATTAGATCATGTTTACATCAGATCAACAGCAGTTCAAATAATTGAAAATGATGTCATCAGTGTTTATTATTCAGATCATGATGCTGTGAAACTTACAATTATCTCTAAATCCTAAGCTATTAGTTTAAAATTTCAATTACTGTATACCAAGACTACTACACCTACTGTGACGTACATAAAAAAAATAAATGTTATCCCACTGTAACTGTAACCGTTGTGATGCTGCTCTGCCAATATATGGTTGACCATCAATCAGTCTTCTACATTATTACCTATACAGCCTATTAACAATCTCTAAGGTTTAACTGGTTTTTTGTACTTTTCAGTTCTGTTTGATGTTTTTATTAGTAAGCGGCCTAGCACAACCAGAACCAAAGCACCACCTAATGGTGTGTGTACTGGTATCATGCAGTCCTGAAAAGGATTGATACATCAGTCCTGAAAATGACTGATACAAAACCTACATACATGGGCATCACCGACCCCATGATGACAAGTGACAACACATGGTAAGTATATTGTGTGGTTATCATTATTAAGCAATGTAATGTGTCACAGGCCTGTCAAAGTTTAATATTCTTTGTCATAAAAGCAAATTGATTGCAATGGTGTTAAGTCTAATCATATTTTCCATGTGTTTTACAGACATCAAATTAATAAGTTCACTAACTGTATGGAACTTCTGACAGCATCTACACTGCCGAGCCGAAAGGGGTACGATGAACTCCATTCAAACATTACTGCTTCAGTATAATTTATGTGGAGATGGCATGTTGTGCCAAACAATGGAACAATTTTACAAACGTTGAACCCTGGCCTTGCGACACCATCTACAGTCTGCCTATAGACAAAAGGGATATGATGAACTCCATTCAGACCAAACATTTCTGCTTCAGTGTACCATGGAGATATTTCTGCTTCAGTGTACATGGAGATGGTACATTGTGTCACACAATGGAACAATTTTACAATTGTTCAACCTGTGGTGCTCCCCTACTGACACCATCTAAACTGCCGAGCCGAAAAGGGTATGATGAACCCCATTCAAACCAAACATTTCTGCTTCACTCTACATAGAGGTGGTACATTGTGCCACATAATGGAACAATTTTACAATGGTTGAACCTGTGGTGTTGCTTGGAATCCCTAACTTTATCATCATTGGAATTTTTGTACTTGTTATTATACGATTTTTTTCTCTCACTTTCTTTCTTTTTGAATTCATTATTCATCCTTCTATTTTTCATATATTCTTTCATGTATTTTCTCCTTTTTTGAATAGTTTTCGCAGAAACGAGATTTTCTGAGATAATCTTATTACTATCTGATACAGAATTTTGTGGTTTTGTTTTACTAGCTCCTATCTGATTTTCTATTTGTCCACGAAATTGATTAATTAGCCTGGTAGAAACATAATGTAGTTCCTCAAGATGCCCAATGTAAATTTCTTTTACATTTGCTACAGACTGAGCATAAATAGAAGTCACAATTGTAGTTTCATTGAAATTTTGGGAACTTTCTGTGATGTGAATTCTTAAATTATTTATATTTGCAACAGCTTGTATGATAATATGGTCGGCCCATGACCCTAGCTTTGACATGTTTTGTAAATATTGGGACCATGATTGTTCAGTATTAGACTCTATGAAATATTCTGGGCAAAGAATTAAATGTTGGATTGCATTAGCTCTTATTTGGGCATGACGAGTCTCTGTTCCATAAAGCTGATGACTTATACTACGAAAAAAACAGTTACCATCGCCGACAATGTTCACTGGTTTTCGTCCTATTCGAGCTAGTCTTGTGGTCAATACTTACATATTTGATATATTTTCAGGACCTGGGTTTAATTCTACATCACCAGACAAAAATAAGATATTTCTGGCAGATGTTTTTACTCTTTGCATATTATATTTAGTAGTGTGTATAAATTTGATATGTCTAGCGCTGTTTGGCGTACTAAACGATTTGTGTTTCTTCGTTCTCGTACGGTTTCTAGCATTTATATGTATCCGACTTGGCATGTTGTCCGTTAAGATATGTTTATGTGCAATTCTCTGTTCTTTCTTAATAAACTTTGCAAGAAACCGCCTTCTACAGTTTCTATATTTCCACATATACGCATTTGTCTGCTGCTGAATAACATTTTTCCGGTACCTAGTTGAAAGCAATTTGTGAAAGCCGGATGATTCAGGAATAGACTGCTTAATAAACCGTTTTATTATACGCCTACATTTTTTATTTTTGTACATTAAATGGACCAACTTTCTAACAGTAATTCTAGACGGCTCTCTATCTCGCCTTTTAACATGTTTTAATTGTTTATTTCGCGATCTGCTTCGATCAAATTTATTCCATGGACGACGAGTACCTGGCATGTATAATGCTTCTTGTACTATATTTCCATTTAAATTGTCACATTTTGCTAATGCAGTATAGTTACGGTTCTTTGTTTCTGTACTAAGATATTGACATGTTTTAGAACAAGTCTCATTCACCTCTGACTTTAAATACGCAAGGTCATGTTGTGTTACATTAACCATTTTCATATTGTCATTCAATGTCATTTTAGGTTTCAATTGTATTACAAATTGTATAGCAGTGTTTATAGCAGTTTTAATAAGCTTTGATTCACATAGTTTCTTAAGCTAAGATCCCATAGTCATAGATTCTTCTTTGCAATGAACACAATTTTCCACCGTTGTGCTAGACCCGTGAACAGGGTTTGTGACGGTAACACATTGGCTACCTCCTTGCCTTTTTCTTCTATTGCTTAAAGCTCGCTGGCAAGTCAAGCGATTGACGATAACACGTTGGCTATCTGCTTGCCTTTTTCCTCGATTACATGAGGCTCGCTGGCAAGTCAAGCGATTGGCGATAACACGTTGGCTATCTTCTCGTCTTCCTCGTTTTAATAAAAAGCTCTGACGAGTCAAGAGTTTCCTAATATGAGTTTTGCCTTGTAAACAATTCTTCCTTGTAAATGCCATTCTACACAACCTTGTTTACACTTTTACAGACTCTGCTATTTTTGATCTATGAGCGGCGGTGGTGCGTCGCTGCCGTCGCATAATAAATGATTAATAAATTTCATACGCAAGGCAATCAAATTTTTTATGAGCAGCGTGTTGTTCACGCGCGCTGGTCATGATTTTGTTACTTTGACATGCGTGATAGTCACATGTACATTTACTAAATAGCCAATAAATATTACATTTGAATCACATGTTTTTCGCATGTTATGGTCGTGGCTTGGATAATTTTCTTCCGTTAGTATTTCCTGTCAGGCCTGGGTCACTTTATTTAGGCGTCAATTATTCATCACATCAACATTGCCTGCTCCATGTGGCCAGAACATACGGTACAGATTTAATAGCGACTAGACATACAGAGTATAAAATCGAGTTATTTTCGTTAAAAGAATGTCTTCAAGGAAGAAAGTAACGAAATGTCACGAAAAACTCTCGAAAGTAACGAAAGGCGTAAAACAATGCGCTCCAATTGGCACAGAAACTGATCGAAGCGGTGTTGAGCATGAATCGCCAGGCACTTCGCTGAAAAGTTGGGCGTCAAAGAGTGGGGATGATTCAATCATTGGTTATGTGCATAAGCTTTCTCCACAAAAGCGGAACAAGAAAAACACTCTTGACTACGCTACTCTTACGCTGCAGACCGAAAACGAAAGGATTGACACTATTGTCTATTCCAAAAGCAAAAGACCTTTGCTTTCCGACAGCATCACTAGCCATACGCCAGTCAAAATACGAAGATTTACGAAAACTTCTGACGGACAAAAATTGATTATAAACGACATGACAAGAGTATCCATCGCTAACCAAAGTGAATATTCTTTTCAATATAAGCCGTTGGATTTCAAAATCTCCCAAATCAAGGAAGTGTTAGAATCAGGTGAAGAGTGGGATACGGTTTCTATACGTGCTAAAGTAGTTCATCTGTCTGAAGTAACCGAGGTGGGTGGCCAAAAGAAATTAAAACTGGCGCAGGCAACATTGGCTGATGAAACGGCATCAATTACTGCTGATATTTGGGAACAACATATTTCTATGATCGAAACTGAGAAAATGTATCTACTTCAGGATCTTCGCCTTCGAATTTGGTATGGTAATAAGAAAATTAGCACGACCATAAATTCAAC